TGTAGACCCTGCCTTTCTCAATTTGTCAAATCTAGGTATTCATAAGAAACCCATATTCAACTCAACAATCATATCAGTGCATATCACAGAATTACCATATACTGGAAAGTACATAATAAACAGACGGACATGACTCCATCTGTGTTTAAATATTCCCAGATCATTGCTCAAATCTTAGTTTCAGTAAAAACATGTAAGCAATTTTTTAATGAATACATTTTGATTACATATGTATTTTTTCTCTAAACAAAACTCACTACACATCCATTTAAGTTTATAGTGAAAACTAGTTACTATCTGCAGCTGACCTTGAGCTTTAACCTCTCTATGGCTACGTTCACACTGCAAGCCTTAGTTCTGATTTATTGTTCAGATCTGTGGCCCATATCAGATTCCAGTGCGACAGATCACAGACCAGAACTGATCCGCATGATGAATGTAGATCTAGAGTGACATAAAAGTCACATGAATTCTTATATGACTGTTCACACTGAGGTCACAATGCAAAGAATCCGACCAGTATCTGATTTAGACCACATACAAGTGGCCCAAATCAAAATTTAAAAGACCAGATTCCATTTGAATTGCCCTGTTCACACCATCATAAAGAAATTAGATCTGAGTCACATTTGAGCAAAAACTCAAACTTGAGCCTGCAGTGTGAACGTGGCCTAAAAGACAGGGAAAAGAAGAGTTTAAAGAGTCTACAAAGCCAGGAATCCAAATAATGTGACATTATTGTTCATTCCAACAGGTGAAGCTGGAAATACCCTGCTGAACTCATTTCATTATTGATACAGCCACCCCTTCATTTGAACAGGCCTACATAAAGCTTGCATTTGGATCTATCAGTGCACCATGAGCATAAATTCATCTCTGCCCAGTAAACGTACAGCACATCAACCTAAGCAGTGCAAAGGTCAGTAGTGTCTCCTCCTGCAAGCATGGAGTAATCATAGGGGCAAAGTGCTTGGGAAAGAAACAATAAGAGTTAGCAGACAGGCTGCCACTGCTGACTCATAAAACTGTAGAATATAAGTGATTTATTGTTCAAAGGTGTGTTCCATGGATTCTGCAGTCTGCAACTTGAATACTATATCTGTGGTCAATTGTAATTAGTTAATTGATGTGATTCAAAACAATTTACACAGTGATTAATTATGCTTAGATTCAAATACTATTAAAAAGTATATTTAAAAGACATACATTTTGTTATTTCATTTACCAGTTTGTCCTATCAAATCCTGTTTTACAGATTATTTTTCTCCTGCTTTAATCCGGTTCCTGTTTTGTGATCACTTTTATTTGGAGCGTTGCAGTTGTCCTGCATCCTCCAAAAACAGAAAGTACATTAAATGGGGTCGAAAAATAAAAAGAAGAGTAAAATGAAGTTCAAATGTGTTTTTTACTACTCATTGGTAGTACAGGACAAAAAGAAAGGTGAATGATAAAGTATTGATTTTATATACTCCGTTTTAATTATTTAACATTATTATCTATTGATGTAGCTAAGGGTGGATCTGTAGGGGCGGCAAAAAATGCCTGGTCATCACAACTTGGTACCCAATGCTGTTAAATTTAACACATTAATTTAAATTAATTTAAAAAAATGTGTTAAAAACTGAAATTAGCCGTTATAATTTATTGACATGGCCACATTTCGAGTTCAATGATAAAAGGCATGTATTTAGAAAAGACTTGGAAATAAAACAATTATTTCTAATGCCACCTGGAATGCCTACCATATTTCTGTTAAATTATTTGCTAATGTTCCACAATAATGTAGTTGTTACTAGTTTTAATACCATTTATATATCATCATTATATTGGTTTATGCTATTGTTTGCGATTCAATCAGCATATATGTCTGTATATGTGTGTTTATATATGTATGTTTAAATGTATGTGCATTTATATACACAATTATGCTGATAAAGTTATTAATTATAATGCTTATTTTATTAATTATTATTATTATTTTATCAGCCTCGATTGGAAACAGGATTAAATAAAGTACTGTGCCTTTAAGAGGCCGGACAGCACTTGCATTGTGACACTGGGGTGTGTCGTACACTACAGAGGATAAGGAAAGCCCTCAGACTTCTGGGTGGATTTCTAACAATATTCGATCGCACCATGTCTGCCGTTGAATGGAAGAAGAAGTGTGAGGCTGAGTGGAGCCTGCAGGGCGCCCCGCTGCCCGACAGCCTGGACTGGAAGTCCGTGTATGAAGCCCGACCGCTCGGCAGAAACTTCCTGAAGAACCCTGCGCCTCACGGTACCTCCACACCGCCACACACACGACTCATGCGCATGTTTTATCGCTCAGTACTGATCCAAAGACAGCTGTAAGTTTAAGTACTGAAGCCGAGGAGGGGTCAAAGTTCAATAATACTGATTTACAGTTAAGTGCTGATACAGATGTTAATGTAGGTCTACATTTTGGCTTGAGTATGGGTGTTTCAAAGTTTTGATTCATTAGTCATCACAAAATAGTTCACTCCTGAAATGATCCTGAGGCGGTTTCACTGTGTTGCAACTAGTACTACTACTGTGGAACAACTGAGAGAATAAAGCACAGGCTTCCTCCAGTTCTTTTTAAACTGAGCAGCTTTGCTTTGTGAAATCTGACAGTTTGGGGAAGTACAACGCAAGACTAGACTACACTGTGTTAACAGTTCCTGAGGATGTCTTCATTGCTGTTTGGTTTTGATGTAAAGTGTGCACTTTATAGCCTTATCTGCTTAAATAAACAGCGGTGCTCATATATATACCCAGTACAGTACACAGGGATAGTGGCAACCATAGAAACAAACAGTGTCATAAAGGTTAGTTAGTTACGTCACACTTGTCATACATTTAGTTAGTTTTGTTAGTTCTATTCCTCATTTTAAACAGTGAGCTAAAATGTTGGTTTTATTTTCCAAAGGTTCTCAGAGCTCCACTAAGATTGAGCAGAAAATAGAGGCAAATGTAGTTCTGTTTGTGGTGTCAGAAGTGTCGCAACACAGAAATGTGTGTTTTATGCTCTGTGGTATATGTTTACATTAAAGTTTGTATTCTAAAGGTTTCAAACTGTCTGTCTGATAACATACGACAGAAAATGAAACAAAAGAAAGAAAGAAAAAATTTCTTACAGGTAAGCTAGCAACATTGGTGGTGAAAGCAAACAAATCTGTCGACATCTGAGACTTTTATTTTTTTGGATTAGGAGGCCATAGCTAGCCTAGCATGTATCTACATTTACATTACATTAAGCATTAAAACAAAGAACTGGAATAAGCAAAAGTAGGTAATTGGATTGCACACTGTCATTTTTGTAAACTCAAGTGACTACTGTAAAAAAGAGTTAAAGAGTGCAAGTTGAAAAGTCGGATTCTTCAATGACCCCACACAGAGCGACACTGGAGATTAAGGTGTGAGCTTTATGAGCTGCTGACTAATAATTACAGTTTTTCACACAGGGGCACACCCAGTGACCCTGTCAGAAAGATATATTCTTTGGCTTTGTGGTATTTACAGTGGGATCACAGCGGCTTCAGTAGGTGTGGTACCATTTACAGTTGTCTCTTTGTCTTATTTCTCTCAGGCTTGAGCAAGGACACCCCTCCGCCTGAACCTGAACTGTCTGAAGTGCCACCACGTGGGCCTCCGCGTTTTCAACCTGATGGTGAGAGACAGGACGGATCAGCACATGTGGCAGCAAATGAAAACAAAGGGAATGAATGAAGTTTTGTATAAAGTCTTGAAGCAGGTAAATGTTTCTCTTAATTAATGCACAGGTGACTTCAGCGGCTGGACCACGAGCACGGAGGTCCTCCCCTATGATACCAGTGGCATCCCAGAAGGTGTTGTGATCTGTCAACTGCCAACGTTCAGGTGGGTAACACTGGGGATCTGATGTCTACCATGCAGCTGGTTATTATAACAGGGATGACCAGTGAGCATATACAGTACCTGCACCTACAGTTGGTTAGGTAAAATGTAAGATCAGGCTACAACTTAAACTGTGACTCTTATTCTGCTCTCTTATCTTCAGCTGGTTCTCCATGGAGCAGGTTGTGGACTTGAAGGCAGAAGGACTGTGGGAAGAGCTGCTGGATGATTTTCAGCCTGAAATAGTCATCCAAGACTGGTGGGTTAATAAGCAACCCCACCCACCTCCAGCCCTTATATCAGTGCATGTGTAATTACTTATCACAGTGGCCTTATCAGTGTGGTCGGTATACACGTATATGGAACCATGTACAGTTCACAGTCTGTCATGTAGGTTATATATAAAATGTTTGAATAGATTGGGCATGGGCAGGTGTCTGGCGTGTTTGTGTAGATAATATGCAGGAAATAGTGTTATGATTTGGGATTGCTCGTCTTTTGCAAAATTATCTATTTTATCTTGGCCTCTAACCATCCTCAACTTCCATGCACAAAGGAGGAACTACGGTGTCCGCGAAACTCCAATCTAGAGCCAGTGTTTGGTTTGTCCATTCTGGGATACTATAGAAAAGTTAATTTAACTAAAAAAAAAATGTTGGCACTAATTACCTTCAAATTTTTAAGTAAAACTAAACCAATTTGGTAAGTTAAGAAAATATCAATTAATTATTAAGCTTAATAAGTGACAATTACCTAATTTTGTATTTTTTATTTGCATTGTGAAAACAAAATATCTAGTAAA